TTCTCCAGGCTTGGGTAGATTACTCAGGAGTTTCACTGTGGCCAGCATTATAAGAAAGTAAATTATACATGTATGGATTTTTTATAATGCTAATTTACTTCAAGCATTTCTTTTTGTTTTATTAAAATATATATGCTTCGTTTGAAGACACTGCTGAGGAAAAGCCCTGTGATAATATTGCAGGCCGGGGTAAAGTGTACTATAGCAGGGAGTCCACATCGCCTGTCATATTGATTACCTATCAGCTAAGACAGGATGAAGGGGGTTGTGATTGTTGCTTATAATACCTTTAGAAAGAGTTGTTCCCACCTTTTCTTACCCCGATCACCTGTTTACAGAGCTGCTGCCAGGATGCTAATGATGCTGAAGAACTGGAAGAGGTTTTCCAAGATGCATCATTTCTAGTTACAGTATCCTTAGAAATGGGGAAAAAAGATATACACATCTCAACAATCTCAATGGCTAACTGCCTTGGGATTCGCATGTAATCACGATATACCTATATGGTATACGATATATATATTGTATGTATGTAACTGCTATCATAAGGCTCCTAGATCATGTTGCTTTCCAGCATATTTCTATCCATATCACTTCATCACCAACAGCTTTTTTGTTGGTATGCAACATGTCTGTAGTCTGTATTCCCCTATTTGTTCATTAAATACATAGCCTATGGATTTAAACCTAAGGGCCATTATTTGCGCTAAATATAGGTATGTAGTGAAGGAAAGAATTACATCTCATCGTTCCATAAAATGATGTTGTTTTGTCTCTCAGAGTGACACTGAGAGAATACGCTAAAAACAGGCCCAAACTGGTCTGCTCTCTCAGTTTGCATTTCTTAATAAGGCACCATCTGCATTTACAAGAAATAAAGCTTTTTTTTTTATAGCTGCACATAAAGCTACGTAGCTAAGACTACCTTGGCATCTATTTGTAGATATCAGGTTGAACATAGCTGAAGAAGATGGATGGTTGTGCAGATTTTTCTGCTCTGGTGGTGCGAAAACGGATCATTAAAATCAATTTCCATGTTCAATTGGTACTGAACGACTGTAGCTTTAATAGTAAGATGTGCTTTTAGCCATCCTGGTACGGTGGCTCATTAGACAGTGTTTGTTGGTCCATCATTTTTGCCTGAGATCACAATTATCAGATGAATACCCTGTTGCCTTAGATGTGTTCTAAGAATTTTAATCCTTATCCCAGGCTGTGAAGTTTAGCAGTATAATCGGGCATGAAATAATACATAATGGTTTGAGACAGTCTTTCACCTTCAGCTATACCTTGTTTCCTGTTATCTACCAATAGCTAGCATGCTAGCAAACCAGAGACTGTACATCCAATTTGGACTGGATTTTAACATTCAGAACTGAAATGGCACATGTAGCTTATTAGTGTTAGCTAACATGTTAATACTAGCGATTCACTAACAAAACTGAAGGACAAACGTGTTGGACTTTAATTTCAATAAAAATGCTTTAAAAAGCACCAACACTACAAACATTGTTGAGAGGTACAGTTAAATAGCCTACACCTGTTAGGCTGTAGCTTTTTAATGCTGTGAAGTTTAGCATTTTAGAATGGGAATATATTGGGACGTGTCTGTCAGGCAAAGCATTTTTCCTACTTAACATCAACATGTTAGCGTCCATTAGCATCCATTACATTTAGAGACATCTTTGTCGCTAAATGTATATACAGTGCACTCATGTTTGAATATGCATAGCCGTTTATTATTTTTGCTCGTAATTCTCACACTTTAAAATCTTTAATTATTTTCAGACATATGGGTATATAAACAGATAGAGGGATAGATGTATGAACTCCGCTCAGTCTCTGCAGTAGCTGATTACAGAAGTCTGACCATTCTGGTCTCTGCATTGCAGTTAATTAAGGCTTTGTGTATGGCTGCGGATGCCCATTATAATGAAAGGCTGGCTGTCAGCCCCTCGTCCCAACACACAAACACGCACATACACACCCCAATCCATTTAGCCCCTCTAACGCCACCACCCCACCCCACAGCCACCCCTATCCAGCTGCTTCCATCGTCAAGCCTCTGCCCATTAAATGCCCATCACCTTAAAATTCCTGTGGAGAGAGGCAAAACACATCCATACACATTGAAATTTGTGAAACAGAGCCTCATCGATGTGTAACCCATGTGTGCTGTGCTGCTGCCTAATACACACAAGCACACACACAGAGGGAGAGGTGTATGTAAATTAATGTTGAGGAAATAGACACTACTTGAAAAGGCCAACTATCACACACATAAAGGTCATTTCACTGACACATTTCATAAGTTATTATATACATGCACACACACCCTCTTCTCTGCAGCAGCGCCACAGCCAGCTCTGTCATATTAAGCACCGTGATTGCATGTCATTGCAGAGGCTTCTCTTTCTATCTTTCCTCGCCTCCACCCCGCCCCACTTACGCCTGCCGCCAAAATTGGTTCTAAAACCACATGTCACTTTTGATTTGACCCGGCAGACCCTGAAACAATAACTTCATCAGGCCTTGTTAGAGTCTCATCCTGAGCAGACAGCTACGAAAACAAACACTGATTTCCCTTCATCTAGTCTAGAGGGCACCTTTCTTCTTGGCTTTCTTTGTCTCATATGGGATGAGCACATAAATGGCCACAGTACTCTCATGTGCTCGAGGCTTTTTTTTTCTTTTACAAAGAGAGGCATTAAATAGGTCACCCAACGGATGCTTGGACATTTTAAGAAATATGTATGATACATGAATGCATGTGCAGTGACTCTAGGAGGTATTACTAATCCTCCTTACTCTACATCATAATCATAAGCCGCTTGTCAATAGCGCTTACTTATGACTGTGTCACTGGCTCAGAGTGTAACTCTGCCACCATTACACTTAGCTCCTGCGGAGTAAATTGTCCTATCTGAACAGACCATCTTGTGACTTGGAGTTTCACACCACACACAATAGAAAAACACCATGTCTTCAACTTGTCCACACTCTATGACCCTTTCAGTCCAAGTGAAGATGTTTACAATGGAGACCTTCTGGGCTGATTTGTGAACGTGTGCGGGGTGGGGTTAATTAAGGGGGCTAAAATTTTAGTGCAAGCGTGTGTGTGTGTGTGTTTAAAGTGAATCTTTGTGTATACACGTGCATGTATTTTCTCCTGTATTTTCCCGGCTGATGTTCGTAGTTTAACAGTCTGTTCATCCTTTCCCGTTCTATTTATTGCAGCATCACTCCCACACTAAACATGCTAAGTAACGATATAATAGAATAAGAGTCAGATATTATGTCAACAGCGCATATGCCAGACATTAAGTCTCATTATTATAGAGTTAGGGGACAGGAGCCTAGTCCCTTGTGGGACCTTGGTGGGTCTAATGATCTGATAATAGGCTGACATGTGTAATGGCCCTCATCGAGGAAACAGATTTATGTCTTCAGCACTTCTGTAGAGTCACACGTAGATTAAACATGCAGTTTTACATTTACGTACCAACGCAAGCATTCATTGACATAATTCCTCTGATATTCCCGCACACCTGAATCTTATAAACAGGTCAACACACCCATATAGATGAAGAGTAAATTATAATTATAGTGGTGAAGAACCCTCTCAGCTCTCCTAATTGAAAGCAAATGGGACCTGGACCTGTCCCCAGCGTCTGATGAGAAGAAAGTTGTCACCAGCTTACAGTCTGATTGAAACCATGAAACAAGCATTCAGAAAGTTGTTCAGAGCATTTGTTATTTAATTGAATCACATGCAGGGAAGTCACTGTGAGCAGATTACTTGAGCAGGAGTGCCAGCAGAAGCGCTGAGGAGTAATCGCCCATACCTGCACAAGACGTAATAAATATGCGTACATGCACACGTACACACGCAACCACATTCATAAACACACTCCCTTCAGGCCCAAGATTCGTAGCCCACCATGTCTACCGAGTCAATATTTCACTCCCAAATGCACACATTAGCGCAGTATCCCTTTCACGAACAAACACACTCTCTCTTTCCTTGCAGGGATTGATTAATCCATAAAAAACCTCTTTAGCTTCTCCCATCCTTCTCCTCTGAGTAATTACCTCATAAGGACTGTTTTTAACCCACATCCTTCCAACAGTTTTCCTCTAACCTGAATATTCCCCGATGTCCATGTGAGTCTCACTAGGGGTCAAAGATTGCGTCAGTCTGAGTGTTGGGGATAAGCAGGCACAGTAGGGATGCATGCCTGTCGGAGGGGAAGGAGGGGAATAAAATAAAATCTAAACGGATGTCAGTTGGAGAAAATACAGGGAGAAAAATTATACCTTTCAGACTGCCCCCACTCTGCCCCTACACCACAAGACCTGGTGACACATTAGTATTGGACCCTGGTTAAACGGTTGACTTTGTCCTCTCTTCATCCATCTATCCATCCAGATGAATGGTAATGACCACAGAGAGGAACAGCCCCTGCTGAATTAAACATTTTCTTCCAATGAGAATCTCATTTTCCTCCTTTAGATGGCAAAGCAGGGTGATGGTTTTTCCTCTGGCAGAGATACTTTATCATTGTGCAGCTCATGTGCATTGGAGGTCAATGACATAGACCCAGCATTGTTCTAATATATTCCATCTCAGGGCAAATGAGATGCATTTTGCTGTGAACCTTCAGTCTCAGGGTCAATCCGCGACTGCTCCTGCAATCTATTTGACTGCCAGATTCAGGGTGCTTTTCTGGGAATGTGCCACGTGACTAGCTCCATAATGACTGCAACTGCAGCAAGCCAGGGTCCAATCTCCCTAAAGTGTTACCCAGGAAATCCCTTGTGATTGAAACACTCCCCCTATCTCCTCCGATTCACTGTGTTTCATGTTGAAGCTCACCTGAAGATCATGACCTGATTTGTATTCTTTGCCCCTTTCTTTCCTTCCCCTCTTTCATGACCTCTCTTCTTTCCGCTTCTCTCTCCTCCTTCTTCCCTCCGTCTTGTCATCTGTCGCATATTAGGTCGCCAGCTGACCATCTTCAACAGCCAAGCGTTCATCAAAATCGGTGGTGGAGAGAAAGGGCGCCACTTCCAGGGCCAGATCTCAGGCCTGTACTACAACGGCCTGCAGGTCCTCAAACTAGCAGCCGAGGGCGACCCCAACGTCCAGACCCAGGGCAACCTGAGGCTGGTGGGTGACGTGCCCTCGGTGCTGACTACCGACACCACCTCCACCACCCCGCTGGCTGATATGTCCACCACAATCATGGAGACAACCACCACCATGGCCACAACCACCACCCGCAAACAGCGCTCGCCAACCATGAGGGACAGTGTGACACAGGTGAGCAAAGTGAGCTAGTGATGCCAGCTTGTTTATATGATTCATAGAGAAAAATCAAAAGGCTGCTGTTTGAGTCACCGAGGCAAGAAGATGCTCTGGTGCTGTGCATTGTGATGGACCATTGCCAGTTAGTTTTAATTGGCTTTTTAAAGTTTCCCCAAAATCCTCAAACTGCTGAAAACAATATTTGAAAGATTAAACAGCATGGCCAAGTAACCAGATGGTTCTTCTTACATGAAGAGATTTCAAAAGAAATCAGATGTCAGCTACAAGGTCAAACAGTCACATTCTCAGCTCTGTGCTGTGTGTGTGAGTTTCCCCTTGTTAGCCATCAGCTGTATTCAGATGGTCAAACAGCCCTCAGCTGTTTGATCCATCCATTAGACCAATCAACACTGCGGTTTTATTTTCTTTAAGAAGATGTGGCTGACCGGGATCCTAGAAATCACTGCTCGCTGGTCGAAGGCAGGACCATCTCGAGAAGGAAATCTTGCTACACAAAGAGCACAACAATAAACTTCCATTTACGAGTCTACATCATGCGCATGTGAGAAGCTGTGATTTATGCTCTGATGATTATCCACATGGGCTAAAGGCACATATTACCAGCACGGAAAGCAACAATTAGCAAACAGTAGGGGACCTTTTCCTTGCCCACATGCAAGAAGATGGAAGAGGCGGGCCATCATAAAAAGACCTAATAACAAGATCCAGGAGGGGAATACGCTCCAGTTCACATCCAGCATCATTAGCTATAAACTGTGTGCTGTGCAAAAAAAAGTGTGATCCAGGCCATGAGAGGAAGCGCTGAAAGCTTGTCGCCCATGCTCGTGGATGTACTGTACGTCAGCTATATTTGGCGCTGTAAAGATTTTGTACCTTAATTAGTTGAAAGCTTTAAAACCTGTCAATTCCATACTTTCAATTTCAGCTCTATGGCATACTTTTATGGTGTCGCGGAAAACACAAAAGCGCGGTGCCAATTACTAGTGCTTTCCTCTTATTCAGTTGTGTTCATTAGCACTCTTCATGTCCACAGAGGCATATCTGAGATCAGTCAGCGAGCCACTCACACTCTTCCCTGAAAACCATGATCAGCAGATCCAGAATGTGTTTAGATCTTCGTCTTTGTCCTTTTATCATCGTCTCAAACCTTCCTATTGTGCCTCATTTTGGTTAAATGTGGCAGTTCCAATTAGACTAAAGATAAGGTGAAGCTGTTGGCACCGCTGCACAATAGATGCAAAGTTATACTGCGAGCACCCAGATTAAAGAAAACTTTTAGTTTTGCAGCAACTGTTTTTCTTTCTTTCTTGTACATTGATAAAAGTCAGCCTTAATGAGGCCTCCACAGGCTCATCAAACTAATACTTTGATGGCAGTTGACAAAATATGAAGGTGCGCTTGTCTCAGTCATGGTTATCGGTGCCACGGAAGTACAAACAAAAAGTTTTAGACCTAAAACCTGTCAGAGCTCCTTCGCAGTCAACAGCATCTTGATTGTGCCCAGTTGGCACAATCAGCTGGTCTGTGATTTAGTGTTTCTCTCTCTTCTCTTTAAACATGAGATCAGTGGAACATGGATTTAAGATGCCGCATGTACGATGCACTCGGTTCAGTGTCTCTGGCCTCCAGACTTCTTGGCGAAACCTGCTCTCCACGTTGAGCGTATAGCGAGCTTTAAAAGCATCTGTCTGTGATGTGAAATTGGCAGCCCCAGACTGCCCCGCTTGATAAATTATCCGGAAGCATTTTAGGATAGCAGAGGACTCTTGAGTGTTGTCTGCCTTTTGGTTGTTACAAGCCTTAATGTGTATTCCATTTGCTGACTTATGTTTATGTCGGGTCATAAAAAAGCACGGTTCCACCTTTAGAGTGCTTTTTATTGCTAAGACTCTATTTTTTAGATAGTGTACACACATTTTAATGGCTCCATCTTTATGATTATTATGCACCTAGCTCAACCAAGTGTATTGCCACAATAGACAAAAATAGCATTAAGGATATATGCTGGCGAATCAAAAGATGTTACCTATGAGTCACTATGCATGTACTTTAATGATCAAACAGGCATTTTTCTGTGTGTAGAAAAGCCTAAAAACATTAGCGCTGATCATTCAGGTGGTCCCAGGTGTGGTGCCTCCTCTGTCCCCCAACCCAAAGGAAAGACAGAATAAAGCAACAAAAGAATAACTGTGAACACAGCTGTAGTCTAGCAAAATTAGGCAAAACCTCTTGAAGGGTGGAGGATTACATTGATTTTTACAACAGCTGAGAGGCACCAGACTGTATGAAATCATTTATATTTGCTCTTTTAAACACCAGGCTCTGTCCTGGGAACGTGCCTGTGGTGAACTGGAAGTGTTGTTTGTTTTCATATTTGTGGCAGGAACAGCAGTTGGGGGGGAAATGGAAGAAAACAGTGTATTTAGTGCGAGCAGCGGTGTGTATCGAAGCTGAACAGACAAGACGGAGCAAAAACCCATACACGACTCAAACTCAATCAGAATCACAGACTATCACTGTGCCTGGCGAAAATTTGGGATACGTGAGTCACAGTCTTACAGGGTATATGAAGACAGGCGTAGCCAATGTGACATTATCCATTGGTTTGTGAAGCTCTATTTTTGAAGGTCTAATTTGAAGGGGGAGGATCTGACTTAGAGCCCGTGTGCTTTTATGGTACCAACTTGTCAGTCCCAATGTACGCCCACCCAACCCTGCTTTACCATCCTTCCTGACACTGATTCAGAAAATAATTTACAAAATAAACATCACATTGTGTTCGAGAAGACTCGACACTTTAGATCATAAACTCGAGACTTTATTTTGCAGCCAGTTAAACCTTCAGTCCAAAGCATAGACAGCTGTATTAGAAAAGTAGCTGGTTCTTTGGTGAAACAAAGTAAATGACAAGGTCCATACAGCAGGAAACATTGAATAATGCCACTTAAGAGTCTGTTATGTGCAGCATTAATAGCAGTTGAAAACTAAAATTCAGATAATCAAGAAAACCAACTTTTCTGGAAGAAGTTTAGATGAATTCACAAATCTTTAGGTTTTTGTTTCTGGGTTTTATTGACTAATCATTTTGAATTATGCGGTGCTGTAAATCATCCAGGAGGTGATGGTAGCTTGGTTTACTTTAGCGATTTGCTTGTTTTTGTCAAAATAAAAACTTTTTTCCACCTAAAAAGAAAAGAATGCAAAAAGAGAAGGTCCTCATGGAACTACATGATTCCAGATACTCCCTGCCTGTTCAGTGGCCATGTCTGGTTCACCTATTTGAAACAGAAGAAGTGTAAGTATACAACAGTTTTATGGACTGTGCCTCATCCTTTAAACCCCAAATGTTTGTATCTACAGTAAACATTTTCTGTCAGTTAACAAAAGCTTTCATTTTTATACTTACAGTACAGTCAGAGTTCGCAGAACTTTCTATAACTTTACACATTTATTTTTTCATAATTCAAGCCCAAAGAGTTGTGCTGATAGATTTCTTCCATTGCATTTCTTTTTCTTATATTGAAATATCTCAGTGAATAAATGTGCACTTAAACTTCTGTACGTCAGCATAAATGGAAGTTTCGCCAGTCCAGCCGCTTAAGATCGAAGTGAGCTGTATGTGGCTCATGATGTCAAATGACTTTAACATCCTTGCTCTAGATCCGTCACAGTCATGTGGTCAGATTAGGAATTGTTGCCTCGTTGTTTTTCCTGTTCTTCAGATGGATAAAAAAACAAACATGGCAATGGTGTATTAATGCAGGAGTGGCAGAATCTAACTATATATGAGCAGAAACTTAAATTTCAATTTCTCCAAAAGCTCTGAGCTACCCGCCGCGCTGTAGCTTTGATCATAGTGGAATAATGTGCTTTGATGCTTAGAATAAAAGATCTACCTTTTGATGTGCATGCGGGGGTCTGATTTATTCTGCTTTTTTACCCCTTGATACTGTGGGTTTCCATGAAACAGTTGGAAGTCATCACTTGTCTCGATCTGACCCAAATTTGGTGTCAGGATGTTATAAAACTAAGATCACAAGCCTCGCCCTTGCTGCTGTCTTAAGCTGAGAGCACTCCCAGGTGTTTGCCATCTCTCTCTGATTTGTCTGGATGGATAGAAGATGGTTCAAAGTCCTTGTGGATGCTGCTTGGAGATAGTCAGCGGGGCTGTTTTGGATGTTCCAGGGGGGTCAGGTAAATTGGGGTTTAAAAGTGTGTCACAGATGTTGCACGAAATTACAGCCATCATAACTCCAGGAGGCTGAAAAAAACCTTTTGAAATTCAATCAGTAAGACATTGTGTTAAAAAACTCTTTTTTTCTTTTCTTTTAGCTTTTATGGCCACAAACACAGCCCGACGTGTGCATTTATTGATGTCCTGGTTGTTTAATTTAAAGGAGTGCACATTTTAAAGGATTCATTATGCGCTGTTTATATCGAAGCAGCTGCATGGATGGAATACGAATGTAAGTGCATGCGTGATGGAGATGTTGCTGGGAAACTGAAACGGGATCATTAGGACCATTTGACAGAGCTAGGTGATGTGAACACACACTCAAACAGACACAGCGTAATTAATAAATGATTATGCCCGTGCCATGGATTAATAACAGAGCGAAAACTCTGCGAGGCAGTGAATCAGTTATGCTGATAAAAGCCCTCCATTTTCTATCAGATGACCCCCATCTTGAATAACAACCAGAGGCTGAGAGGAGGCGAGGGCAGGATGTTTGGGTGTCTAGACACGCAGCTGTGTGAGTCATGCAGCAGTGAGGACAAACCTGGGCTACTAAATTGGAACCACCTTGTCAGATTTAATCTGCTTTCATTTCAAGACCCCCGCTGTTGTACCCGCTGTACTTGTAAACCCGGCACAACAGGCTCCATGTCTACTGCTTTCTTTATCGCCTACTTCAAATGTCTACAAGGTCAAAAATAATCCTGGAGACCATAATGGAGATAATCTACTGCATGTGCTGAAAAGTAAAAACAATTGTGCAATAGAGCCTTCAATGTCTGACACTTTTGCCCACTCAGTGGAGCTGACGCGCTGTTTCGACAAGCTGCACCTCTTTGATCGGCGGCGTTGGGTCAGAAAGAGGTTGTTTCACTTTGGTTTCCCTCGAGCTCTCCATCTTTTGTTACATAAGTACACACGGGTGCTGCTCATAAAGCACTGCCACCTCCATATTTTCAGCTCTTGTGCCACAACTGCTCAACAATAAATCTTCATGTTGTAACTGAGTTACAGATAAGAGTTTTCCCCGGAAGTTTGCTTCTCGTACTGCAGCTGCACACGCTTCTGTGAGACTAGGCATCGGTGGAGCCGAAGACCTTCACTGTGACTTCCAGAGACTCTTAATCCGCTTAGATATTCGGTGTATCCTCTACACAAATAAAATTTGTCCTGACTGTATCTCCTCCCTCTCTGTTCTTCCAGAATTCAGACGACCTCCTGGTAGCATCGGCTGAATGTCCTAGCGATGACGAAGATTTGGAGGAGTGCGAGCCTGGAAATGGTGAGTCAGCTCAGGGAGTTCTGCCTTTGTTGTGTTTTATCTAGAAACAAAGTCAGCCTGAAACACAAAAGCAGAGTTACCTAGACTACTGCAATGTCCCTTTCTCCTCTTCTAAATGATACCTTGTGACTGCGCAGCCCCCTGTATGCAGCTCTGATTGGCCAGATGTGTACTCTCTGAGTTTTTTTTCTTGTTGCTTTTTAAAGCAGCAGGCAGTCAGCAGCATTGTGGTCTGTCAATTGCTCAGCCATGTGGTAATACCTGGCATTTTCCCAGCTGTTGCACCAATCCCCTGCCCCGATTTTAACAAGGCAGGACAGTTCCAACGTGGAAACACAGCTTGTTCTGCATGGCGCACAGCTGTAGCTTGGCAGACCTGGTGGCTGAGGCACTGTTAGTGTGAACAGAGGGTCAAGCAATGTTCTGACACCATGTCAGGAGGTGGAAGTTAAAGGCCATGTGTTTTACTCCTTGCCGCTGTGGTTTCTAGCACTAATAAACTGGCCATATTTAAAAACTGCCAAGAACCATGCCTGTTCAGTGAAAAAGTGAGATTCAAATTACTCGTGCAGCTACAAGTCAAGGCTTCTAAAACTCCAAGAGTCAGAAGATATGCATGTCCACATTAAATTATGCAGTATTTCATCCTTAAAGATCTTGAGTGACAAGAGTTGTGTGTTTAATGGGTTCACAGATTTGACTCTGGTGTGGGTGAAACCTTTAATCAAAGCAGAGCCACTATGACGCCACTGTCAAATAATAGAAAACATTAAATTCCTGGAGCATAAAACAAGACTTGCTAGCGACTACTAGCTATAAGCTAAGTGTGGTTTTATGTGAAGGATGAGTTTAATGCATCACCGTGGAATCAAACCTGCCTTAATGTTCTGAGATAGGGCAAACCGTTGTGTAGCTTCAGCAGAACATGCTTTATATCAGCGGTCCCCAACCTTTGTTGCGCCACAGATCAGTTTATGCCCGACAATATTTTCACGGACCGGCCTTCAAGGTGTCGCGGATAAATACAACAAAATAAAACTAGTACCGGTACCGAAAAAAAGAAGATTTATTCATAACACACGTGAAAAGACCCAGGAAAACCGAGTTAACGATAAAAACGATAACAAAATAACGCTGGAAACCGATAAAAACCCTGAAAACCAATCATTTCACACCCGAGCCTCAACTCTCGCGGCCCGGTACCAAACGACTCACAGACCGGTACCGGTCCGAGGCCTTGGGGTTGGGGACCGCTGCTTTATATGATGGAAGAAGGGAAAAAATGAAGAGAAATGCCATAGTGTACATTGCTTAATAATGTATCTGATGACCCGTCATAAAAATGAGAAAAAACAAATATTTTAGAAATCTGTCAAAAACACGTTTAAAACTAAAAAATTACTTTGTTATTTATTAGTCAAATAACAAACTATATTCATGTTTTTATGTCTGAATTTGAGCCGGCACACTGGGCTTTCCCAGAAATGAATCAAGGACAATATTCAACCACTAAAACTGTTCAAGAAAAACAAAGATGTGCTTTTTTGTTTGTTTCTATTTTTTCCAAAACACTAAGTTCAAATGTTAAAATATAATAATTATATTTTAGTATTAAAATATCATTTTGATTAAAGAGCCTTGTGCATACTGCTGGATAACTTTAATTTTATTTATACAGTTCCAAATCACAACAACTTTTTTAAAGGAAAAAACCCGAAAAAAAAAAAAAAAAAACCCAAAAAAAAAAGACCCCTATGATCAAGTGCTTTGGTGATAGTGGGAAGGAAAAACACCTTTTTAACAGGACGAAACCTCCAGCAGAACCAGGCTGGGGTGATATTAGGTCTTTAAGAAAATTATTATTTTCTTGTTATACTAATAGACCTTGTGTCATTACAAACACATAAGAAATGGTTTTGGTAATTACCAGTACTGTTAGGACAGCTGTAGCATAAACCTGGTACTGACTGGTGGTCTAATAAATTTGTTAAGCAGTGTATGTGCTCCCCGAAAAGCACTTGAGTTACCTTGAATAACTGTAAAAGTTTGTTGTAGGATTGTGGATTAGTGGTTTGACTGGTGGACTGTAAATGGCAGCAGATTACAACATTTATCAGTATGTTTGTGTTGGGAGAACCTGATCTGAACCAGTGCTGAGAAACTTGAGTGCAGCATTTTCCTGCAGTTTTCTCTGTAGGTGGTTGGGACTGAAATAGAGACTCAATACCCCTCTTATCAAAAGAAGAAATAAGAGTTTTTTGGTTGGATGCTATGTCCAGGCTTAATCTCCCATGAGGAAATGCAACTCACTATCTCTCCCTTTCTCTCGCACGCCCCCACAAACACACATACGGTGTCTGACATGCTCACCTTTCCACACAGGCACTTGTCTCTCTCACTCTGTGGGTGTAAAGTTTTCTCTCTGCCTCCGACTCTCCCGAGCAACAATGAACGCGCTTGTGCGTACGCACGCACGCGTGCTCTGTATCACACCTTCCAGATGCCACGAGAGTTCCAGCGAAGCAAGCCGGCGGGGTCGGATAAGCCTCTGTGAAAACTGTGGACGAGGAGAGCAGAATCAACATTGTCTCCAAAGCATGTTCCCCCTCCATCACTGCTGCACAAACACAGGCCTTTAGTCATTGTGTGATAGGACCAATTCCCAGTGTTTTCAATTACATGTGAGTGTTCGGCTCGCTGTTATTGAACTGCCTTCAGGAAAGAAGGAGAGAAACATTTTAAAGGCAGCTGTGGATTTTCTGTTAAGCAAAGCTAGATGCAGTGGTTATGAATTGATGAGGATCGATACAACTCCTTCATATATACAACCAGCTGAGCTCCATCTGCTTACCTGCAGCTGGTAACACCACATCACACAATTCAAGAGATGCAGCTTGTTTTTTCCTTTTCCCTTTTTTCCAAAGCTGCATTTGGTGGAGGAGTGTTTTGGCTGTGTCACGCTAAATGAGAGTCCTCAACGTGAAACGCTCAGACAGTGATTGAGGGGTAGCTGCTGTTGCACATTTGCTGACAAGCTCAGAGTGGATGCAAAATAGACAAAAGCACAGGGTGCAGAGAAGAAGACCTGAGGACGAGACGAGCGGGAAGGACTGGCTTTCATTGAGATGTGCATCACGTTCCTTTGCGCTCAAAGCAGAACAGAGGAATGGGGAGAGGAGAGAAGCGGAGGTACAGAGGGAGCCTGCGAGAGAGAAGGAAGAGGAAGTGAAGGAGAGAGTGAAATTCCCATGAACGATTCCTGGCGTTCCCACCAGGCTAATTAAACTTTGACTGGTAGAGAGCCTTAATTACATCACCCAATTAGAGCTATGGTTTTGATACTTCAGTGTTTGTAATGAGTCTCTGTCAGAAGGGTGACAAGCTAGGAAATGTGGACCTCTATTACAAAGCTCAATATACCGAGCAGAAAATGAACAGACAGGAAAGAGTCTCCAAAGATGCATATGGACACTCATTTGCTACACATATAATAACTATATTTCACACTAACAAACATATTGAGATTCTATCCGTCCAACATTAAAGCTGTGTCTTTTTGTCTCCATATATCATGTTCTGTCTGTTCTCTACCCCGACATGACCTCACTTTGCTTTTCTCCAAGCTACTTATCAGTCCCAGGATGTTGTAGGCTCTATATCGGTTTTACTCTGACAAGATCAGAGCTTTGAGGAGCTCCTCAATAATTCATCAGACAGCATGCTATAGAGACAACCTACGAATTGCTCTTCTTAGGCCGAGGAGTGAAAATAAGAGATTGGGTGATAGATGAGGGATGACCTGGAGCCTCTCGGCCCCCCTCCGCATTCAATGTGACTCAGAGCCAAGTCGATGGGTTTGGGTGTTAGTTATTTGTCAGGGTGATGCTTTATTGATCGCTCTTAGCTAGTAACAGGCCCAAGTTTATCAATATAGGTTCCACGGGTTGGATCCTGAGCAGTATGGATGCTTGAACCTGCATGACAGGATGCTTTCTAAGCGGTACATCATCCTTTCAGGGTTCAGGCAAGTGTTACTGTCCAAGCCTCTACCCCTACTGTGTCTGATTGGTCAGATTTGGAACGAGCCTTCTGATTTGATCGTTTTCTGTGGAAAAAAATAATGCAATTGAGTAAAGGTCGCATCAGCTCCATGATGAATGCTTGAGTTTGCATGAGTTATAATGAAACGTCTCCCAGCTACCATAGGGCGAGACGGGGGGTACAGCCTGGACATGTTGCCAGTCTGTTGCAGGGCTTTAGGTGATTGTCTTTAATTAGCAGAGTTATTTTACAGTACCAAAAATATGGATCACAGTCTTAGTCGGGATACCCAGTCACTGCAGAGGTGCTCAGTCAGCCTAATCACACAAGCGAAGAATGCATTACTCAACATTATTCACATGCCTGTAACCATTTTATTTCATTACTGGTCAATGGTGCATTTTTGTCATTTACAAAAAAATTATACATATTCTGCAAACTACACAAAAGTGGTTTTTGAAATTCTAATTAGAACCAAATGTTTTAGGGAGGATGGCCTTTTTCCTTGTGTTGCATTCTGAGTAGGAAATCTGGCCGCTTTAGCTTCAGATTGTAAACAAATGCCCCGGAGCACCATGGAGAAACATGATGGTTTGCAGATTGTCTGAACCTCTGACATGGAGATTGGAGACTGGAGACTTTATTGCTGCACAATATGTGACTCTGAGTGAGATACAATATGAGCAGGGCATCATATCTTTTTTGTCAAAACAAGTCAGTTCACCTGAGAACAGCAGCAGCAGTTTACAGAGCCCCGCATTAAAAGAAGCAGGTTTGTTCCCTGCACCGATTATAGGGCCACCTATTGTAGCGGGATTCAGAAGCAAGAAAGGGATAATATATTATGCTCGGACACGCAGTTAGATTTTCCATCTGCAGCCTAATCGAAGCTAAATTACAGAATGCTGAAACTCCAAACAACCTTTTTGCTCTAAATATTTCAAATAGATGTGAGCGGGGTGATGTGATCAGCAGAATAACGATATTTGTCAGGAGACCGACGTGGATGCATCAGTATCCATCTGCCCTGTGCTTATTTTGAGTAAATAGGAGGGGTGGGGGTGACTCACACTGGCAACGCAGTGGAGAGGCATGTGGGTAAAGATAAAGAAATTTCATCATTGTGGACTAAACGTCTGCCTCAGCTGTTCAAATCAACAGAGTCAAACTCAATCAATCAGGCTGAATATCTGAGTCTCTCCCGCTTTAACGCTGAAATGACAGAGTGGGAATGTTAAAGAAACAGACCCCCACACGTGGGAATCATGCCTAATTTTTTTTTTTTTTTTTTGGCATCAGAACTGGTCTCAGTAAATCCCAGTTTGGGTCTGATGGCTTTGATGTAAAATAATACGCATTCACCTAAATATTTTATGCTCACTTTCCTGGGTTTCCTCTGGTTTACATCAGTCTGTGGTTCTTGGCAGCTTTCAGCAGGAGAACACATGCAGGGAGATTTGTGACATGTATCCCCCACCCACCCCACCTTCCAACCTGGCTGTTAACAGCACCAGAGCTGCATACAGGGACCACACAGTGCAGTGCCGGAAAGCCAATTGAAGTTGCTGATTGGTTTTAAATATTGGTGCAGTAGGCTTAGGTCGCACAACAGGAAATGAAAAGATGTTTCACTTGATAACTGCCTGGAGGTCTGACATGTGGCTCACTCTGTGTATGAGGGCTGAGGTTCATTACTCTGCTAGGAGCTGCTGCCTGCCAGTCATATGGGATAATGCCATGAGGCCTTCAGGCTTTGGCTCCTAAAAACTAAGAGGACAGCAGAGCGATGTGGGTCACTTGCTTGAACAATCCTTTCTATGTACACTTGTGTATGATGACTCTGAGCCTCCCGTAAATATTTAATAACCATTGTAAGCGTCACTCCGAGGGGCTCCTATAAGCAGACTTTAAGCAGGGAAGCACAGTGGTCCTGATTCCTGAGGATTACATTAAATGTTTATTGTAACAGGGGCATCTATTTGCCGTGTCAGCCGCACGTACAGTAAGTAGGACGCACTGTGAGCAAAGGTAGCTTCTCAGTAATGGGCAGGCTGCACACCGAGCAGCAGGTATGAAGCTCGAAATTGCACTCGCAGCATCTGCGCCACGCAGACAGACGGCAGAGTAAAGATAGCAGCGCTAACGTCTCGTCATCACCCTCACTCGCACATGCGTCCTGTATCTCTAGGAAACGATCTTCTCTGCGTTCCCAAATCGTTGGCCCCACCCCCCTCGCTGGAGCGACTTTGACGAGTTATCTTACGAAACCCAAAGATTTTCTTTCTTTCTTTTGAACGCACTGGGGGAAATCCTACTCGAAGTGAATCTGCTTTGTTCCTCAAATGTGCCGCCGCGCTCTGCTGTCCTCTCGCCTTCAAGGTGAAACTCATCCCTCAAACGCAGACAGAAAATGTATGGGAGAGAAATAACTTGAGCATTGCCATGGAAACTAGCCTTTCCAGTAGTGGTGGTGAAATAATAACTTAGAACGGTTGAAGAATTACTAAGTTTCTTTCTCCTTTACAGCTCTCACATTTTGCTTTATTTCAAGGAGTTTCTCTCAAGTGTGTTGTTATATGCTGATATGTCGCAGTGGCTTTGTTAACCCAATGCATTACCTTTTTTTTTAACAAAGCCTTTGCCATTCTTTAAGTGAAAATGTGGGGGTTTTGTAACTGACCAATGGGTTTGGGGGTGTTTGAGTGCTGCTGAGCTGAATAAAGGCCACAGAGGAATTCTTACAATCCCAGAACCTCCTATTAACCATCCCCTCCCTTCCCATTCATTCCTGAAACGCCTTATCCAGCCACTCTCTCCCACTGAGTCTCCCTGGTTTACCTCATCAATCGAACACAGAGCCAGAGTCATGATTTTATGCTGGTGATGTTGGCATTTCTTTGCTTATGTTTTGCTGTTACCTTCCCTTTTGTCCCCCTCCAAGATGTGTTGTAATCTAATTCACTCTGCAATACTTCTCAACTGTTTCCTTTACTGACCCTTTTGCAACACTGGACAGAAAATTGAGTGTGTAAATTTACTGCTATTAATATTCTATTTCCTGTTGACACACTCCTGATATGTCTAACCATTTCAGTCTATGATACAAGGATTCCTCTTAAATGCACCTTTTTTCCCCCAATAATCTGAACTGAAGCAAAGTCGAAGCTTATTTCGCACTGGGCTAAAATTGCATAACTGAGGCTTGAACTGAAATTCTGGCTCATTAAGACTTTTTTTTTAATGTTATTTGTGTTGATGGCTGTTTGAAAAGAACATCATTCCCCCATGTTTAACGTGTGGTGTTTGGGAGGGAAGTGGGCATGAGGGAGTCATGATAAAAAACTGAGCAGTATTATTTAATACTCTGTTACTCAGTGCGCTGTAGTGTAGTGCACTGAGAGTTTGGGTTAAGAATTAGAGGCATCAGTTTTCTGCAGCCGCTCCTGAGGGTTTGCATACAGATTAAGCTAATTAGAAATGAGCCATAGAAGCCACCATGCCCAAAAGGGGAAAATAGGATTGAGACAATTCTTCATTTTTATTTGGGGGGGGGGGGGGGACAAGTGAATAATGCAACAATACATTATTATTCTTTTTTTTTGTTACATTCTGATTATTTTTCACCCAATAAAGAGACAAAAGAGGAGAGGAGGTAAACAATGGTGGGGGTGGGGAGGGGAGTTGTTTATCACTATCCGAGAACAATCTTACACAGCTTTCTTTTTGTAATTTTTTTTTTCATGCAAAAATCATGCGGCCAATTTGTTGATGTAAGTGACCTGAACCTCGTGGTTTGCTATCTTATTTAACCAATCACAGCAGAAACATCTGAGCGCTAGCGTAGTCAGCGAAGGTAGGACTAGAAAGGTTAGCAGTGAAGGATAGGCTGTGTAGTACAATAGATGTTACGTTGTTCAGTGTAATTTGTAGTCTGCTTTTACCTTGTGTTAGTGATATGACATGTAGGAATATGCAGCACAGCGAAATAGGTCAGAACAGTCAGGAGCAGGTGCAGGCTAGAGTATATTCTTACATCTTGTTTTATAATGCAGCTCAAAGTTAGTCAGCATATTAACTTTTTAAATAGAACAGACTAAACTTGTAGAACTAACCTCATGTTAAGCTGTAGTGCTGTTCTAATACTGGTGTTTCTGTAACATTTGAACTGTCTTTCTTCTGTTGATCTGGAAGTCGTCTCTCCCTCAGGTGGTCTCTAACACTCTTTTCCTTCGTTGTCTCTTTCTTGTCCTAGGAGGTGAATTAGTGTTGCCCATTATTACAGTGGACTCCCTAGACCCCCCATCTATCGCCACCCACTACCCAGTAATACCCCCGCCCCCCACCACTTACCGCCCTTTCCTCACCCTGCTTGAAACCACCAAAGAATCCCTCCCCTTGCCCAACGGCCGGCCCCCTTGCCCCTTGGACCAGGAGGACTGCGAGGAGACCATCGAGGTGTCGGCGTACGGTTCGGGGGAGATGACCGAGTCAGATGACGAGGACTATTACAAAAATTCCGCCCTGGTCACCGACAGGACTGTCCTCCCCCCTCCCCCGGCCGTCGAGGGTGGCGTCCAAAACCCCCGAGACCGCCATTTCTCCCGCTTCCCCAACTCCCGCCCCCCTTTCTCCTCCACCCCCACAGCCAACCCCGATCAGCTGAACCCGCGCATCAAGTCAGCCGGCGGCGGCAGCAGCAGTAGTAGCAACAACATCCCTGCCGGGAAAATGAACACCCGGGACCAAGTGCTGCTGCCGCCGGCCCAGCCCTCTTTGGATCCAGGCCACCGTAGAGTCCCAGGTATAACCTATCCCCCAAATTTCCCTCATGTTCCCACTCCAGACCCCACGTCTCCAGAGAGAGGGCTCCCGGGTGCCGTAGAAGTGCAGCAGTCGAGCAGCACCACCGGGATGGTGGTGGGCATCGTGGCAGCCGCTGCCCTCTGCATCCTCATCTTGCTGTACGCCATGTACAAGTACCGCAACCGCGATGAGGGCTCCTATCAGGTGGACCAGAGCCGTAACTACATTAGCAACTCAGCCACACAGAGCAATGGGGCCCTGGTGAAGGAGAAACAGCCCAGCACTGCCAAGACGGTCACCAAGAACAAGAAGAACAAAGACAAAGAGTACTACGTCTGAGGGAGTGCCGCCGTGACACACAGGGGCAGACAGCAGAGCACTTAGAAAAGGAAAGAGACGGCGGGGAGAAGGAGGGAGAGAAGGCAGTATGTGGGAAAACTGCAAACACATCACAGTGGCTAATTCATTTCAAACTTCAAGTATTGTCAGGTGCTCATATGTGTTACCAGTTCATCTCGAATCAGAGGGAGGCAGCGAAATGAGATGGCACAGTGACATCACAGCTCTCCTCACACATTTCCACATTGCTTTGATTGATTAGACTAAACTTCAGTTGCATTCAATGCTAACCACAGTGTGGATTTAAGGAAAGGCTATTACATCTCTACACATACCGTGCCAACAACCACGTAGCAAATGCTGATAAAGCAGTGATTCATGGGTTAGCCTGAGTACTGTAGGAAAGCATCGCCATCAGTATTTGTGTCAAGGCCTGTACTTGATTCTGAGGAGAACCTGCGTCACCTTAGACAGTATCAAACAGATTTTTTTTTCCAACCGGCCTCAAATTAGCAGATCAATATACTGCCAGCTTAGAGAAACACTGTGTCAAATCCAGCTCCTCCACCTCTGTAAGTGTTCGACACCTCCGATCTCTCGCCTCTCATCGGATCTCTCTCTCTCCTTCTCGTTCACCCACGAACTCTGTTTCTCTCCTTGTCTACGGTGCCCAGCAGCCGATGCGATGTAAACTCTGCCGTGTTTCAAGCATGTAGTATTCATTTACGAAAAAGAGATAAACTGTTTTTCCTTTCTGTGGAGTTTAAAAAAAACAAAAAAATATGACGCCGATGACTGATGATCGTAACAACATTAAAAGTAGCAACTACGTGAGATGCCACCGCTCCAACCTAACGGATGCTAAATTGTACGTTTAGCCGCCAAAAACTCATCGAGGCCAAAAAAAACACCCCTTTGGTCGTCCTTTGTTCCAGCAGATCTGTGTCATGTGTATCTGGGGCTCTGAGGTGCCCCCTAGTGGGCCAGCAGAGAAACTGTCACGTCCTTACAAGTTACTAATCACCGAAAAACAGAAAAAACCTCCAGCAAACAAGATGAACTCTGTTCTATATAATTATAAATATATGTATAGACGTTGCAGAAACATATGGACCTATGTGAACGAATCAAAAAGTGCGTTTGCTGAGACGTGCACAGCAAAAGATGGGATTCTTGAACAGCTTCACCGTCCAACCCCCCCGTTCCTCAGACCCCTGCCCCCCCACTTCATGAACAGTGCGGCTGATGGAATGCCTTGCTGCAAGACTCAGTCACTTTGGTTTGCTCTTTTCTTTTCTTTTTTTAAATTTCTTTTCATTTCTGGAGGAATGAGAGACATTTTAGGGAGATTCTGAATTCATTCGTGTTGGAGTTCCACTGTGGAGAGAGATACCTTGCAGCAGCTGAAAAAGAGCAACTGTGTCGTTCGCCCCTCTCTAGCCTGACTGGACTGACGGCAGCCCGCGGGCAAAGCGAACTTAATGGGAAGAGCACACAAATAAAAGGAGAACAGCAGTTCCCTGAAAGATGTACAACAGAACTCTAGTATTCCAATTTTCTCAAGTCTATTAAGAAAAGAAAACTGTACCATGAAAAGAAAAATTCTGAAAAAAGTTTGTGAAATGTCTAAATATTTGACTTTCATCCCATTACTAAGAGAGATGTGTTTTCCCTACTATCATTCCTGTTTGGAGAAAAAAAATAACTGATTCTGGGAAACTGAAATTTCTATGTATTTTCTTTTGGTACCTGAGCAAATATGATTTGGGTTATGAACATCAAACCATGCATTCTCCTTTTCCAGAGGAGAAAATGTCCTCTTTTATCCTGTCATCCTTAGCCTCTTTCTTTGTTCTTCATGCATTCCTTTTTCTCTGTAGAGATCGTATGTCCCCGTATCCTGTGAGGAAAGCAGGTTTTATCCATCCTCTGATTTTTATTTACTTTAATTTGTTTTATATCTATTTCTGTCTATATGGCGAGAGACAAGACGGTAGTCATTTCACTTGACGGGCTCCGTCGTTACTCTCGTCTGCCACGTTTGTCTGGTTTCTCTCTTTCTCCATTCTGAGCATACTCTCCCAGTATCTTCCTGTTCTTTCTAAATGTTATTGTAAAGTGTTCCAGTGAGATGACTCTAAATATGTGTACATTAACAGAGGGAATACACTTGGTTATATACTTCTTACTTACTGCGTTGTGTGGTCTGTTCATTGTCTCCTTATTTTCAAATTTGATTCAATCCCCAGGAGGTACCCAGAGGACTGCAAATTGCTTTGAAACAGTTCGATATTACGACATCCGATGGACCAAGTTGCTGGTGAAAGCAGCTCTAATTAGAACCGGACCATTTCTGACTCTGACACCCCGATTAAGATAAATGCTCTGCAAAATAAGTCTGTAGCTGGACCCGTTTTAAAGGGATAGTCTCATTTCTCAGTATAAAGAAAAGTTATGACATCAAATAATTTGAAAGATGCTATAATCACATAAATTCTCCACATCACAGATTTAAATGCTGACATATTTCATAACAGCACAGTGGCCCTAAAAGCATTAATGTGTTAATACATTTTCCAAATTAAGAAAGTAAGACGATTTCACACTGCAGTGTGAGGATGGATGGTCGGGTTAGTAACCACAAGCAGTTTTAGTCTAAATGTATCTTAATATTATCAGAAATCGATAGAAACACAGGGAGCAATTACTCGCCCAATGCCGTTTTCATTTCAGAGGAAAACTTCAGCTCCTTATCTCCACGTTGATGTGAGCGCACTTTTCTGATTTTGAGTCTCTTTGGATGTATTTTTTCTCCTTTCCACAATTGTCAGACTTGATTCAAGTACGTCGAGACCGCGTTTGTTTTATGTCAGTTACATTTTCATTGTAGAGCTGAGGTGTTCAAAATATGAGCCTCGGCACCCCAGGAGGGCACAAGGGGAGAGACGCGAAGCAGAGACACTGCCTGAGATCAAAGAGACGGGTGCGTATGCAGGTGGTCTGAAACAGTCGGGAAAGTTTAGACCAGACATTTCTGTCAGAAACAGCACTCTCTCTCTCTCAAACTCTCCCAAACGCGACACGTGTATTTTTAGGTGTTCGGTGCCACTTCCAAAGGACAATAGAAAGAAAACACAGTCAAATATGTTCAAATTCATCCATAATGACATCCATTACATCCATATAGGGAAAGGTATTTGCTTTTATTGGTGCCCATTTTCCAAGTGTAAATACAAATAAGCTCAAATATACAAAGCTCACATTTTACTTCCTGTATTACTAACCCCAACAGGCCTGGATGAGCTGCAGCCCAGCACCTCTGGAGCTGGTACAGTAGGGGTTCATTGTTCTGCTGAAAAATCGCTTTAGCAGCAATGAGGCGCTGCTGTCATTATGAAACAAAGGAAAACATCCTGCAGTCTTTTGTTTATTCACTAAGCTTCAACGGTCCTTCAATGGCAGAGCATTTTTTTAAAATATATACATTAATTTTGTGGCCTGCCAAGATGATCATACCTCTGTAGTATTGTTTGCTGTGATCCTGCAGGAAAATATAAAAAACATCTTTTTTATTCTACTGCCTGAACAAATTTCAGCCATCTGTGATACATTTCTTGTGCAGCTCTTTAAGCTGTTTAAACTCACACGTGTCCCACTGAAATTACTTTCAGGTCAGTTATTGATTATTATTCTGTGAGACATGTCTTAACGAGTCTTCATCATGAGTCGTCTTCGCTCCTCTAAAAAATCCCTCCCACAAAGTGATAAAAAAAATCATCACAAGCAGAGCAGTATGCTAACATCGTAATCTTTGAGAGCAATCACCAGACTCGAGCACAATCCTTAGCTCTTAAATCCAGCATGAAGTTACCGGGCTTTACTTCAGTTTAAAAAAGATGTAAATCAACTACGATGGTTTTCTATATTGGACAATCAGTTCTCAGTTGTTACACATAACTCAAACTAAATGGAAATGTCATCATTTTCAGACAGTCAGAAACTGCGGTACCCCTGAGAGGTCAGATGCACTTTACTCTGGATCTCTGTGCTGTTGAGATCAGAATTTGAGATTCACATACATATTTGATAAGACACATCATACTAATAGTCCACTGGAGCATTAGGATGAATGAAAAACAAGACACAGACAGGGTGAGCTGATTGGTGAGCTGCACCGGCTAATTTTACCTTCTAAAAAAAAAAATGAGGAAAAACAACAGCAACATAATAAAAGAAGCAGTGCCTTACTTTCAACCCAAGCTACATTTTTGGGTGCAGCAGCATAGTGTCATCGCATGGTCCAGGGCGCTGTATCACAGAGAAAGATGAGTTGTTTAGCCAGCTATTGTCATGTCAAAAGATCTTTACACGCTGAGCACACTTCAAAAATGCAACACGATGTACGCGCAACATGCATATACCACACCCACGTGACAAATGTGGGGTTTTTTGGAAGATTCATCCTCACTGTGAAAACAATGAAGTCCACATCAAGCCATGATGAGCTCATCCTGTTTCTACACAAGAAAAGGAAGAAATGGAGACTGTGGGTTCATTCGCTATTCTAATTCTCAAGAGTAGAGAGCAGTTCATTGTTTGATCCAGGAATTGATAGTATGTCAGGATGCCAGTGGGGCAGTTGGGACCACATGTGAGGACCACATAATTTCAGAGACCTAGACACTGACCCAGAGCCGTGTCTAGCTGTGTGTCAGAGGTAAAATAGTTTTATTTTACCATTTCCACATCATTGTGTATTCAGTACCGGTGCCCTACCAGTACTGAATACACAATGTGATCTAGAAGAGTACTTGTTGCCCGGTGCAGTGGTCCGATAGGGCAGAGCTGTTTATTTGGATCCAAAACATGAGCTTGATTCGAAAAAAATAAATGCCACAAATTCATCCAATGAAATTACCTGGTCGGTAATAAGATGCCCTGATTGTAACATGTGAATTAATAGGAGCATATGTCTTAGTTGACCTCTTAACAAGGAGGCGAGCTCTCTGCAGGGTGTTTGTCTAATCTCCACATTAAAGGGATAACGTTACAAGTCAACTCTTTAGTTTCACAATAATACGAGAAGACACAAAAATATTTGGTCCAAGAAGAAACACAAAAGGTGGATTCATATATTCATCTATACGAGGCTTCCACTAGACTGGGATGTTGTTTGAGGGGCTCAGTGCTCGAGTACAGACAGGATGCTAAGCTGGGTTCTCTACAGGCCGCTGCCTCTTTGGTTATATAGGGCACTGAGGCGCTCCCTGTGCCTCCACCTTTCAGCATCCATGCCAACGCCACAGAGAGTTTTTCTCCTGAGGAACGGAGCAGTGATGATGGCTCTTCCGCAGGAGGCACAGAGGGGCTCGTCTCCAGCATTTTGTGCATTAAAAGCCTTTATACGGCTTTAAAGATAAACAGAGGATGGTCTGGGTTTAGTAAAAAAGTCAGTTTTGAGTTTTGAAAATATTTTCATTTTCTGTTCAGGTGCACTCAACTATTAAAAAAGCTATAATTATTCTTTTTAAATAGAGCAATTCGATTCATCTAGTAAAAAGAAATCCTGTAATTTTGTCATATTTTAGAAAAACTGTTAAACCACACAGTAATTAAGCTCTGCCATTGTTCTTCTCTGTATTTTTCTTTTTATGCTGTCCCTGACATCAACAGTGTTACCACATGAGACCATCCCCTAAATATCTCTCCAGGAGGAGGAGGAGTCCACCTATTGAAGACCTTACAACAGAAGATGCTGATTATTGCTCTGTTATTTATAAAGCTATGTCTGACTAAAACACCGCCCTCTTTGCATTCACGAATCCTTCCATCCTTCCTTGTATTGATTTACCAGTGAAACACTGGGATTCCCTCTTCTGCTTGCAGAAAACATTTTCACTATGAGACCTTGAGAGAAGCTTGTTTATACAAGGAGAATATTTGAATAAGCATCATTTTACATTTAATTCTCTTCACTTTAATGTCCTTCACTTGCATCAAAACTCTCGTTGGGCCTCATATTGAGAGTAAGTTGCTACCAGATACAAAGTCAACCTTGGACTCCGCTCCAGATCTTCTTGATTTGTCATGCAATAAGAAGGGAGCAGGCCTCATGGCTATGATGCTGCTTGTCAGACACAAAGCTTTTGAGTCTGTACACGGGACTACTTTGTAATCATATATTTTATTTAGAACAATGAATCTGTGTTAACTATTTCTGACCATTAATAAACACATCCTGGAGGAGTTGGACTACCATGCTACCATTAGTGACAGTGACCCTGGTCAAACGCAAAACTAGAAAAACCATCCTGCTATAGTGCAGCTATTCTTAATTTCATTAACACCAACCTACCTGAAATTGATCAGATCAGATTAATATCCCAGAAGTTTAATTATATTGATGCTATTCTCTGGTTAAAGTGTTCCTTTAATTATTCTGAGCGGCATATATGATGGCTACTTTGTGATCGGCAGGTCTCTCCTGTATTGGTGTGCATAGTGTAATTAGGGCCAAAACCACCCAACCATT